ACACCCCCCCCCCCCCCCCCCCCATTTTACTTCTTTGTGTTTTCTTGGGGTATAAAAAACAAGAAAAAGATCAGTGGTGGTATATTGACTCAACTGGGTCATTTTTACATTTGCATTTGCAACGTAGACTTTATTTATACTAATTGAACTTCACAAACTGATTCACCCTACAGAGTGTAGGAAACTGGAAATAAGTGGAGCTAGTAGAGAATTCCATCAGTAAAGCTAGTGAATTCTCTCCAATATCACAATATATGTGTGAGTGTGTGTACACGCACTCACATATATTGCATAGGATATATATTAATGAGATATATATAGTGTGTGTGTGTACGTGCACACATGCACTCACACATATATTGTGATATTGGAGAGAATTGACTAGCTTTACTGATAGAATTCTCTACTAGCCCCACTTATTTCCAGTTTCCTACACTCTGTAGGGTGAATCAGTTTGTGAAGTTCAATTAGTATAAATAAAGTCTATGCTGCAAATGCAAATGTAAAATATATATATTGCTGATTTCTACTGTGTGTGTGTATTGGGAGCATTGCATTTTAGCTTTAGGTAATCAGATATAGCACATGGATAGTGTACAGACTTCTAGATTTTTTGTGTGCAAGAACTGTATTGCATAAATACCCAGAAAACATGCAAGATGCACTGGTTAGTACAGTTACTTCATGCTTACAAGAAGCTTTGCTTTTTCTTATTTCACAGATTCTTGTGAACATCACTGGAACTATTTTTATTGAAAATACAAGACAAATTCCTGTGTGACTTTGCTTTGTAAGCCCATGGCACAGACCTCTAAAAGGAAGTGGTATGAACCAGAGAAGCAGCAAAAACCATTTAAAAACATCACTATTGTGCATGTACATGCTGTTTATATTTTCCTGCTCCAGTTCCAATTTTAAAGCATATTACTATCAAAGATCTGTTTATACAATGGAAGGGAAAGGTATATATGGCAGTGAATATTAACTGTCATCCTCAAAGGAAAAAACTTGAGGCTGTGTACACATGTCCAAATGATCTGGGAGAATTCTCCTGGGTTTATTTTTCTGGTAGAAAAACTGAGCAGACATGTTTATGCTGAGTCTCTGAAGAACAGGGGGCTTGCAGTACAGATGTTGTGAAGCCAGGGGGGGGCCTCTGCACACATCCCAGCCTCCTCTGCAGGCTTCCTCAGTCTGCTTGGAGGCAGATGGCAGCAGTGCACAGGGAAGCCCTGATTGGCTGATCCAGACTGCTCAGGGTCACCCTGTGTCTCCTGCTTCACAATGTGGGGATTGTGGAGGGGACCTGTTCTGCTCCCTGCTTGGCTGGAGCAATAGAGTTCACTGAGTGACACCCTATCTTCCTGGAGGGAGAGGGGAGAGCAAAGCCCTTGGGATGCTGGTGAACTGTGGTGTGGCTTCTCTCATAAGAACATGTACAGACACTTGCTTCTAGGAATTCCTTCTGGGAGTGAATTAACCCTGGTTGTTCCTGGGTTATTTTTCTCCCAGAGCAGCCGTTGTTGCCCAAACAGAAAAATCCTGAATGTCTACGCACTCACTCATAGTTTCTCCTGAGACACACACAACTCTCCCAGGAGAAACTAACTGTCTGTACATGGCCTGAGTTCTGGACATGGAGAAAGGCCCTTTCATTCCTAAAGATGGAGTATACAAGCCAGGTCCCTCCAAGGCATGTGTTCACATTTTAGTAGGACAATGACTGGAATAGTATTTCTGGCTGTCCCTGTAGTGGACCTCTTCTGTGGATAAATAAGGAGCTTCATTCTGCAGGGTTCTTGATGTCACACCTTTCATTAATGTGAGTTAAATAGAGAGAAGAATTCAGCCTTGTTGTTGCTGTTACCACTTTCTGAGCTAAGTTTTGTAGAATGCATCTTTGTCTTGATTTTCTGGCAGTAGTTTGAAGGGTTGTTTCTCTCTTTCTCTCTTTCTCCCTGCTAGTCTGTAAATGCAATCCAGTTGAACCAATCTAAACAAAGTTTCAGGGAGGATGAAACAAGGAAGAAGGGAAAATTGCATGCAGAGCTGGTTTATAAGTCACAGAGGAAAAAACAAAGCAGAATTTTATTCTGGGCTGGAATGGCATTACTGGGTATTGCCATGACAAGCAGTTTGTGACTGAACCGAAGGACTTGTTAAGGACCAAGAGCAGGAGCTAAGCAACAGAATCATGTGGCTCGTACTCAAGCATTATGTGCCTACAAGTCCTGCTGCCTATTCCCTTTCTCCTTTCCCTTCAGGCTCAGGAAGCAGACTTAGCCTACAGGCCCCTGGTTGTGAGACATGCACACAAATAACAAACAAATGAACCCAACCTAGTTCTGTGCAGTATTATTGCACAGGTCACATAGTTCTCAGCCTTTTTATTTTTTTGCCTTCAGACATTTTGTGGCATTTCCCCTCTCTTCCACCTTTAGAAATGTCTAGTTCGTTCACATATTTAGGGCTGAATCACCAAAACGAAAGCTCAATAGACAGGTGTCTATTTTAAATGCAGTAAACATGCCCTTGTTGTGCAGAGTGAGGGAAGCGATAGCGTGGCTTCAGAAAGAGCTAGATAAGCTGTTCAGTGGTGCGGCGTTTGTCTCTCCAACAGGAGCTGCGAGAGAGAACAGTTTCTCCTTGACCTGGGCAAGTGCTCTGCATGCCGTGTTGGCTGCAGTTTAAAAGAGGAGGCTGATTATCTAAAATACCAGGCCATGTTGGAACAGCCTGAACATCCCTCCCCCTCTCCCCAGTGGTATTAAGGGACTACAGTCATAGCGGCCAGTGGCAGCTGCACTGATAGCTGGAAGCGTTTGATTTGCGTCACATTGCAGCAGAGCCAGCCGGGGCTGCGTTCAGGGTCCTTTTAACTCTGTGACTGGCAGGAGCATGATGTCACATTGAGGTTAGATCTCTCACTGGGGGGGCTCATGGTTTTGAGACCAGCCCAATTTAGAAGATGGACTGCAAAGCAATAAAGTGAAAATGTCATGCTCGAGGAGCAGTCCGCAATCTGCAGGAGTTGTTGTTTTGGTTTTCTTTTTCTTCATGCTGTTTTAATTGTGTGAGTAACTATCTGGAGGTCAGGCCACTATGGGCAGGAAACCTAGGTAGGGACTGTTTATTCTGTGTAGATTTCTTTATGATATTCACTTGGATCTTGGGCCTCCCTCAGGACACTCAACCAAGATGCATAAGTTAATTAGGAGATTTTGGCTTGAATACTGAAGGTTAGTTGAAACCTTTAATTTCACAATGATTAAAGAAATTGGCAAAGAACTCAAATGAAACCCAGATTATGTACTTACATAGATATGATATATTTATATTAGCTTTTGGCATAGAGCATACCTGGGTATAAACTGTGGTGTATTGGATGAAGAAAAGATTAAGCATATTTGTGGCTAAAAATGCATGTAGAAATAAAGTGGGCCATTGACCCCAGTACAGGTTTGCTTTCTTTATTGTTAGAGCAGTTGTGTTTTTATAGTCTGCATGGCAGGATTTTGCAGGGTACAGAACTATGGGCATCACTCACATCTTTATTACTCTCTTTGCTAAAGAAACACTGGCTGTCCTCCAGCTTCTGATCCTCCATTGCCTTGTGTCTCACAGCATAAGACAGTGCATGCAGAGATACCCAAGAGATATTCAGATGAACATGCTAACCCAGGTAGTGGAAGTAGTATAACTACATTAGCATAGCAGTTCATCTGCACTAATATACCTGCTTCTCCAAGACTACTTTGCTTCCCATGGCCTAGCTAGCTTGGGTATTTTTGTACAGTACAGTGCTGTGCATTCAGTTTCCATAGGCTGTGTACAACTGTTTGCTGCACCCGCTCTACATTCACGTGGCTTGCTTTAAGTCATGTGAATGTAGACTGGGAGCGGTGTGTGCAGCCATTTGCTAGGCCAAGGAGCTTGACAGAGAAACTGGCATAAGTAACTTGGGGGGGGGTTGGTGGGTCTGTGGGGAATGGATGGTTTATCTAGGGGGGTGAGGGTTGGGGGCTAAAAAAATCTTGGTCAGGGTCAGAGGGTAGGAATAGCACAGCCCTTAGGCTGGGGCAAGCGGCTGGGTCTTCCCAGCCCCTAGGCTGTGCTCCAAACATTACAGATGTTTGATAGATTGGGTTAACATGGTCCTGATCTAAGTTAGTTTACCTCCTCAGGTGAGCTAACTTGGATCAGCTCTGCCATTTTTGCCCAGTTGAACCCCCCTGAACATCTGTACAGGTGGGCCTTTCGATTGACCCTAACCCTAAATGTAATGGCTGTATGTACCCTTATAGAGATACTCCTTTCACGCCAACAGCCTCTCATCCTGTTCAATGCCTCCCTTAGAGAGCTGTTTTTAGGAGACTGCAGTCTTTTGGGGGCTGTGAAGGCAAAGTTGTTAAGGTGGATTAAGTTCAACTTGAAGCCATCATGAAAGGTCAACAGTTTATTTCTTTTAAATCACTTCTTTCTTTGCCTTTACTCAAACATCTTTTCTGTATTTTGAATCATTCAGTCTCTCAACTCCCCTGCGGCCCTTAAAATCTTGAAACTGTGAAATTAGTGACTAAAACTGGAATGGATATTAACAAATATTCTTGTGCTTCATCCTGGTTTGCCATATCTATCCTATTTTTCTCTGCTCAGGTTTTTATACCACACCAGTCACCACAGTTTCTAAGCACTTCTGACATCTCTCCTCATTGAATCTTCCAAGTTGCCTTGACAGGCGACTTGTAGTTTACTGCTGGTTTCCCAAGGTGGGTCAGTACATTATTGGCTGGTAGTCACTGAGAAGAGGATGGCAGCCTGTTTTGTCCGACTGCGAATGAATGTTTGCAGTGCAAACATTGCAGTGGTGAGATTGCATCCCCAGTTTGGCATGGGATAAGTTATTTCTGAAAGGGAGAATTACTGATGATATTTGCCTTTACTTCTTCCATTAAGCACTGTGTGTGTGTGTGGATGCACACATGCGTGTTGGGGGGACGACTCAGTTGAAAGCAGTTATTTTATTGAAGAAACTTACAGAGGAGGCTGCCAGGTAGATCTGCTGTTAAATTTGCAAGTCAGCTCTCACTGTCTCAATGTGAACGAAGTGGGATTTTGTATAACAGCTTTTTTTTTTTTTTTTTTTTTGCAGGAGTGGGGAAGAATGTTGCTACATGCGCCCAGTCTTTGTGATCTGACAGCCACAAGACTCAAAAGGGTCCAATTTTCTTTTCATATGGGATGTGTGTTTTGCACACATTGTAATTTGTGGTTTGAGGATAAAAGAACCAAGAGCGACATTTGAAACTGTGGACTATTCATTTTGATTACCTCATATTTCAGGGATGCAGAGCTGGTCAGGCAGAAGCAGGGTCAAAAAGTGAAGCTATTTTTGGTTGTACAACACAAGTGAATTAGGTGTTATCTCTAAGATAAAGGTAACTGTTGTATCAGTGAAAAGTGATAGCACTCTGAGTCTATTATGTACTATCTTGTATTGCTTTGCCATGCAACCCAGCTCTGCCATTGAAAAGGCCTTCTCTTTTGATATGCTTCTGTTCTTGATCTCCTGAAAGAACCTCAGGGTGGTCACTGGGACTGTCATGGAAATTAGTAACATGGCTGATTTGGTCAATGAGAAGAAAACAATTGTTTAAAGGGTAAAGCTGATGTGGATAGAAAAAGAATAAGTCTGAAGAAGATACGATCTCTGCAACAAGCTCCAAACAAACTACATTTGTTCCAGAGGTAAACTCTCTAGGCCAAAGCTTGAAAAAAGTTTTATTCAAAATTAATGCTTTTTGTCTACTGCTCTTTAGCAAATCTCAGTCCATTGTGCCAGTCTGCCTTTTATCCTAAAACTCTCCAGCTTTGATGTTAAGGTTATAGTTTTTGAACACCAGCTGTCACCCATGACATCCATTGTTTTTATTACAATGCTTGGGTTGCAAGAAAAAAATTGACATTTTTTTCCACAAAGATTGTTACAAATCCCCAAACAAGATGTATGTCTCTCTCTCTCTCTGCTCTGTCATCTCCTAGGAACTGTCTAGTGCTATATGCATTTTTAAGGGTGGGAGCTGGATAGGGGGAGGGTGGAGAAAGGGGATCAACAAACCTGCCAAAACAAATAATTTTATAAGATCACTTGCTTTCTTTGGGTATTAAATAGTGGGAAGGACAGCAGGGGTGCAGAGTGCTGAATGAGGATGAGAATAAAGGAGTGTGGAGAATACAGCTGGGGTAGGGCAAAGGGCAGTGGAGAGAGCTATTAAAGAAAGGTAACTGAAAATGTGAGAGGTAAAAAAGTACAACCCTGAGAATAATCAATAGTAGGAAGCTAAGAGACTTCATTTTAACCCTAAAACCAGGACATGGGGAGGTTGTAACTATTTATACTATAGATCCTTTAATAATATATGAATTGAATGCAATATACGATCTTCATTGTTAATACAGCCTTAAAGTGCTGCTTTGCTGAGAGACCATCCAGCCACTAGTCCATTAATTTTTCTCCTAAACTAAGAGCAAGGTTTTGTTTAAAGAGGCAGCTCAGGAAGCCATTGTCTCCATGTGCAATTGAGATACTCTGGACTTCTTACAGCAGGGGGTCTTAATAAGAGTGTTTCCTTTAAGGGTGCCATTAAGCCATGGTAGTCTTCCTTTCGTTTCTTCAGATAAACCTTTCCAATAAAATCCTATTTTAAGCAACCATGCATGGGTGTGAGTGTTTAAGAGGAGTGGCTTTTATTCTGACAAAAATAGCCTCTGAACTGCATGATAGACCAACCACTTAAATGTTTTTTTTTCTGTTTTTGTGCAATTGCCATGCAGTCCCATTGATCCATGTGAGGTTCTACATGCTTTCTGGATTGATTTTTGTAATGCATCCTTTCCTCTTAGCCCCTACCCCAGCTTACTTGTGTCTCCTAACCTTTGGAGCCCTTTACTTTGGTACAGTGTGAACTCCTAGTTGTCCGTTGTAAAACCCAACACATTTTGTAAAAATGTAAGAATACTTCCAGCTCCTTCTACTGTAGAAATGCATTCCTTAAGCCATTTTTAGCATATAAGAAGCATTGGTGTCCATCTAGATATCACTATTTGTTAAGCTATTCCTGAGCTTATGCATATAAGGTTGTCTATCATAGACCATCACAAAGGGCAATTCTATACCACCATAATCTCTTGAGACCTGTTTTGCTGTTGCTTCAGAACATTTTTAGTCATTTTCAGTAGGGTGTTATTCCAGCTGGGTAGCATTTTATATCCACTTTGCTTGTGATATGTGACTATGCACAGGGCAAGGCAGTGGAGAATCAGGGCCTCTGTGCCTTTTTTTTTCTGATGCATTAACTGGGAAGAGTAATTAATGCTTATCTCAGACAATTGCTAATACTTATGAAGCTAAAGATCCTTAATTAAAAGGAGCTATAGTAAAGCAAAGTGTAATAGTTTTTTTTTAAAGTTCCTTCTTTATTTTCTTGCTGACTTGCTTGCTGACTGTCCGCTTTGGAGACCACTCAGATTGTCTAGCTGCAACTACTAATGTAACACAACAATCAAATATACAATACCCAGAGAATAATCTTCATTCCTTCTCCTTTCCTGAATGGCAGAAAACTTTTATGAAAGACAGCAAAGCACCAAGCTGAAATTCTTATGAGAACGGGCATTCTTGCAAAATGTTCTATTGGTCATGTTTTCAGATAATTTGAACACCACAAAAAAGGTGTGCCCTCCCCCCCGGCTGTATTTTCATATGTTTTTCAACCTGGAAATCTGAAGCATTTGAAAATTCAAAGGAAAAAACATCCTCCCCCAGTTCCGTCATCCCCTTTTTATTTTTCTTACTAGCTAAAATAGATAGGGCTTGAGGTTTGGGGGAAGGCTGAAGACTTCTTATACTGGAAGTTGTTGGTCCATCCTTACTCTAAACCAAGGTTTTAGGTAACAGCTTGTATTCACATGAACCAGTTTATGGGAATACAGCAGTGTAACGCTTCTGGCTTCACCTGCTACATTTCATTATGCTTGCATTGATGTGCCCAATGCATCATTTGCCACCACGGTGGAGAGAATCAAGCGGGCGTAGACAACTTTCGCAACTCTCTTGGGTCATCATGCCAGCCAAGATCCTGCATTTCATTCCAATTCTGCCTCTTATGACAAGCTGAGGTGTTATGACAAATTAATGTAGGTGTCATAAATAACTGATTGTTGTTGGCATGCAGTTGTATATAGAAGTACAAGTCCCAGCTTGTGAGGGCAAAATGGTGCCATGCTCAGAAAGATGAACCACCATCTTGCTGACCTCCTTTTCTGTGGGCAGACAGAGCAAAGCTTGGCTTATTACTGTCGCACCCCAGGGAGTCACGATGCAGATTTTCCATTAGTGTCAAATATACATAGATTTATGTACTCCCGTAGCCTGCAGCTGATGAGAGCAGATTAGAAAGAAATGGATTCCAAATAACTTGCATACCTAAGAAATTGAATAATATAGGACTAATATAGGGCTGGGTGCTGAAAGTTCACTGATTTCTCAAAGACCATGAGAGAATATTATTCTGCTCCTTTCATTATACTGTGCATACATTTAGGTCCTGATTTTTACCCTTACAGTGAGATTGGGCAGTCATCATTTCAGTAGAACTACTCATAGGGTATGGTATATTGGCATTATTCTCAGAGTTACATTGGCATTACTAATAATACTAGTACATCAGCAATAATAATAATACATTGGCATTATTCTCAGAATTCATCTATCCTGCCATCAGAAGTGTGATCGCATCGCATCTAGATACGTGTAGTTTTAAGCTAACTAGCTCATGTAAAAATAGCACTGAAAACACTGCCAGCACGTGCTCCCACTGAGACTTTTGAAATATTCAGCTGTACAAATCTGTTGTCAGGGACTGTACTGTTGGGGTTCTGGGGGTTGCTGGCCTGTCCTGAAGCTCATTTCAACTCAGCTTCACTATTAGTTAAAGCTAGCTCATGTAGACCTGTGTATCATGCAATCACAACTCCCTAGTTGCAATGCAAGTGTATCCTCTCTTACAACCATAAAGGAGCCTTAACATAGAGTTTTTGTTGTTTTATCATACCTTCCAACCGACAATCTCCAGGCTGTTCATAAATATTTGTGGTTTAATCCCTGCAGTCCCTCCACAGAGACAGAGGAGTTTATCCCTGCCATAAACATGAGAATCATAGAAAATTAGGGTTGGGAGGGATCTCTGGAGGTCATCTAATCCAACCCTCTGCTCAAAACAGGACTATCCCCAACTATGTCATCCCACCCAAGGTTTTGTTTAGCTAGGTCTTAAAAGCCTCCAAGGATGGAGACTCCACAACCTCTTTGGGTGGCTTGTGCCAGCACTTTACTACCATCTGTGTGAAAAAGTTTTTCCTAATATCTAACCTAAACTTCTCATGCTGTAACTTGAGACCATTGCTCCTTGTTCTGTCATCTGCCACCACTGGGAACAGTCTAGCTCCATCCTCTTTGGAACCCCCCTTCAGGTAATTGAAGGCTGCTATTAAATCCCCCTGCAGTCTTCTCTTCTCCAGAATAAATAAACCCAGTTTCTTCAGCCTCGCAGAAGTCATGTCCCCAGCCTTCTAACCATTTTCATTGCCCTCTGTTGAAGTCCCTCCAATTTGTCCACATTCTTTTCTGTAGTGGGGGGCCCAAAAGGGAAGAATCAGATTTGCTAGCTGTGTTCCTACTAATGCAGCCTAGTATGCCGTTAGTCTTCTTCTCAACAAGAGCACACTGCTGGCTCATATTCATCTTCTTGTCCACTGTAACCCCCCAGTCCTTTTCTGCAGAGCTGCTGCCCAGCCAATCAGTCCCCAGCCTGTATAAGTGCATAGGATTATTCCATCCTAAGTGCAAGACTTTGCACTTGTCCTTATTGAACCTCATGAAATTTCTTTTGTCCAGTCCTCCAATTTGTTGAGGTCTCTCTGAATCCTAGCCCTATCCTCCAGCATATCTACTATTCCCCTGATCTTGGTGTCATTTGCAAACTTGCTGAGCATGCACTCCAGCCCATCTTCCAGGTCACTGGTAAAGATATTGAACAGGACCAGCCCCTGGGGCATTCCACTTGATACTGGCTGCCAACTAGACATCAAGCCATTGATTACTAACTTTTGAGCTTGATGATCCAGCCAGCTTTCTATCCACCTTACAGTGTATTCATCCAACCCATACTTTCTTAGCTTGCTTGCAAGAATGTTGTGGGAGACCATATCAAAAGACTTGCTAAAGTCAAGGTGTATCATGTCTACTGCTCTCCCTGCATCCACAGAGCTATTTATCTCATCATAGAAGATAATGAAGTTGGTCAGGCATGACTTTCCTTTGGTGAATCCATGTAGACTGTTCCTAATCATCATCATCTCCTTCAAGTGCTTAGAAATGGATTCATTTAAGGACCTGAGGATTTTTTCTAGGGGCTGAAGTGAGGCTGGCTGGTCTGTAGTTTCCCAGATCCTCCTTCTTCCCTTTCTTATAGATAGGCACTATATTTGTCCTTGTCCAGTCATCCAGGACTTCTCCCAATCACCATGAGTTTTCTAAGATGATGGCCAGCAGCTCTGCAATCACATCAGGTATATCTTTCAGCATCCTTAGGTGCATTATATCTGGCCTCATGGATTTGTACATATCCAACTCTTTTAAATAGTCCCTATCCTGTTCATTCACCGCTGTCAGCTGCTTACCTCCTCCCCAGACTGTGCTGCCAGGTGCCATAGTCTGGGAGCTGACCTTGCCTGGGAAGACTGAGGTAAAAAGGCATTGAGTACTTCAGCATTTTCCCTTCATCTTTCACTAGGTTGCTCTCCCCCACCCCCACCCCCCATTCACTAAGAGACCCACACTTTCCCTGATCTTTCTCTTGTTGCTGACATGCTTATAGAAATGCTTCTTGTTGCCCTTTTATGTCCCTTGCTAGGTGCAACTCCAATTGCACTTTGGTTTTACTGGTTTCATACCCAAGCAATACTCCTCCCTAGTCATTTATCCATGTTTCTACTTCTTATAAGCTTATTTTTTGTGTTCTAGCTCACTGAAGAGTTCCCTTCTAAGCAAAGCTGGTCTTCTGCCACATGGGCTAGTCTTGCTGAGCATCAAGACAGTTCATTCCAGCACTCTCAGCAAGGTTTCTTTAAAATAAAGCTCGCGGTCCTAGATTCCTTTCCCCCTCAGACTAGCCTCCTAGGGGATCCTGCCCATCAGTTTCCTGAGTGAGTTGAAGTCTGTTATTCTGACGTTCAGGCTTTTGATACCTAGAAGACTGAGGCATTAAGTAACCTGCTTATGTCATGTAGAAATTTCCTGTTAAAAATGGAAATAGGAATCAGGAGGCCTTGGTCCAAACCGTGTATCTTTAGCACAAGAAGAGCATCCTTCCTTCCCCTCATCACAACAAAATATTCTGTTCTCCTGTATGCCTTTTCATGATGTTTAAAGGCACTTTATACCACCCCTGTAGTAAAGCCTAGGAGCACCACTGAGAAACACTCTGGAACCAGGAGTTGAGCAGCATTGGCAGGCTAGCATGACCCTGAATACACATCCAGAGCCAATCCTAGGCTTTGTCTTAAATAGGATGCTTGGTGTGCACTCAGGATCACACTAAACTGACCCCTGTTGCCTCATTTTCTGGGCTTTGGCGTCAGCTGAACAGGAGTGAGTGGGCAGGTTATGCCTCTCAGTAGTAGCTACAAGCTCACTGCAAAGGCAGTGTAGACATACCCTAATTTAAAAGCTATGTGAAACCTGCTGGGTTCTGTTTGTGTGGGGTTCAGTTGTGTGCGGAGAGTATTGCCAACAGAAACATTTCTTAAAAAAAAAAAAAAGGTTGAATTCAGCCTTTGCAATAATCCCCACCCTGAATAGGGTGACTATATGTCCCAGATTGGCCAGGACAGCCCCAGATTTCAGAGGCTGGTCCCGGCCAGCTGGTGAAAAATTTAAATGAACATCCTGGGTTCAGGGCCTGAAGGCAGAGCAGCTGGAGGGGTGAAGTAGGAAGCCTATTAACACTAATTGTTACTTCACAGGTGATTATTAACACCCTTGAAGTAAAGAACACTAGTGCATTAACGGGCCATTGACTCCCTGCAGGGAGAGAGGGAGGGTCCTGGATTTCACATTGCCCCCTATAGCCATCCTACTCAAACAACAACAATCTGCTTTGGAAAGGTAAGATTGCAAGTAGGTCCTGGTATTTTCAGGATGGAAATGCTTACAGTAGGAACAAGGGGTGTGTACAAAAGTTGCTTTTTTCACCATTTTAAAGTGCTTTATTGACATGATTTATGTCAGAAGTGCATGGCTTTACAGCACTTTAAAATGGGTATGGCACTTTAAATTAACCCTTGTTAAATGAGGTATTAAATTTGAAGCTGCTGTGTTTTACAGCAGTTTACCAACCTTAGCACTTTAAATAACTTCTGTATGCTGGGCAAATTTCTTACCAGTGGAGAAGCCCCAGCAGGTTGCAGAGTCCCCCCTGCCGCCTATCCTGGAAAGTGCAGGAAGGCTCAGGAACCTTCCCCCTCCCAAAAAAACCCCCAACAACCCCAAAACAACAAACCCACAAAAAACCCAACCCACTGCACTTCTGTCATGTTTAAGAACACTATAACTTTATATTGCTATAAAAAGTGCAAGGAGCACTTCTGTACTCACTCAAGGAGTTTTAGAAACTTCATAAGAAACTCCAAAATACAGGTGTATGGGAATTCACAGTTAAAGTATTCAAACTACCTTAATTGTCTCTTCTTAGTGATTGCAACCTGCCCTATTTTCTTCTTTGTTCCTTTTATAGCTAGTCTATAAAATGTTATTTTTGGATGAAAGATTTTTTTTCAAATGGCTCTCAGAAGACTGCAGCCAATACTCAGGTTTTAAACAGCCATGGTATTGGTGCAGCCTGGAGACGAGCACTACTGAATGCAGGGTTCACATCACCCTGTGAGTCTGCTAGCTCTGTGCTGGATTGCCTTTAGACATGGAGGAATAGGATTTGATCCTCTGAGGTCCTGGGCAAGCCTTTCAGGAGAGTAAGCACCTGCCACATTTTGCAGGGTTTGTTCCTTAATGAGGAATGCAGGGTTATTAGA